GACAGCCCAATTGTTTCTCTCTCCGTAGTTTCTTCTCTGACAAAAACAGCTATCTTTTAAGCACTTGATATTTTATTTTGTAAATTAATTTTGCATTAGAAAATATGAAATTTAAATAAAATGTCCTATTTATTTTATATTTTCTCATTTTTAATCACAAAAACTCTTTTTTGCAATGAAATGCAAAGCAACAAACAAGGTATCTCGGTTGAGTCTCTCTCTTTATTTTCCTTCATTGACAAAACAGCTGTCATCCAATCACTCCCTATTGAATTACAATTGCATTACACGTTTATATATTTTTGTAAGAAAAACTCATATAAAACAAAAAAAATGAAATTATTTAAATAAAATGAGTAGAGAAGGATTAAGAAACTTTTTAATTTGTAATATATAAAAAAAGAAAGAAAAGTTTGTTTACATTTTCTTTTCCTCCTCCTACCTAGTACACAAAACAACACAGTTGCAAAATTTTAGTAGTAGAAATGAATGCAATGCATTTCAAGTCATGCATGCACATGAACATGAAAGTCACCGCAAAGAAGTGATAGAAAAGTTGCAAATTAAATATTGCAAAAGTTGTTTAGGGAAGAAAAAAATAACTAATACTAATAACAGCATCAAAATAAACAAAGAAATTTGAAAAGAATAAAAGAAAATTAAGAGATTAGCGTTTTTTACCATCTAATTCACTAAGTTAATATGTCAATATAAAAAGAAGTTAGGAAAATTTATCCTAAAAACAATCATATTTGGTATTTATAGGTATAAACAAAATTGTCGCACACGATAACTGTTTTCTGTCATGATCTATGCATGTTAGCCAATATACAATATATGCCAAAACAAATCATGATAGGACATTTTATAATGATTATCATGGGTGCCACTAATGTTGTTGACATTTAAATGTCATAAGAAAATGACAAGTAACCTTGTTAATTTCTCTGAGAAAATGAATAATAATAATGAATAAATAAGACGTTTTTATATGACAGAAATGGGTAAAAAAATGGAAGCAAAAAAATGAAGACAGAAAAATCTGGCCATATAAAATAAAATACCTGAGAAAATGAATAAAGAAATTCGGAAGAAAGTGTTATGTTTGGGAATGTATTCCATTTTTCTCATTTTTTTATTATAATTTTTGTGAAAAAAAAATTGTGAACATATTTTTTTAATTTAAAAATTTGACAATGAAATGCTAACCAATTTTACCTGTTCTTGGCTTTTTGCATACAAAAAATAAAACATTTTTTCTCGTCATACAATTTGTGAACATTTCATTATTTCTTTTTTTACTTTACCACGAAAATAATTATTTATCTGTACCTGCTGTTTTGCAAAAAAGACACGAACACGTAGCAGCTCACACAAAACACTGACATGATGGATGTTGAAATGAAAACTGGAATAAGTTGACACAACTAAATTAAGCTCTATGAAAATGATTAGTGACAGCTACCTAACCGTATACTTAGTAAATCCCATGTGTCATTAAAAACCATAAAGATAATCCTCAGGGCCAGAATGAATTAAAAAACCAAACTGTGGCCATGAAAATTTATTTATTTTCCTCGAATACATTTCCTAGGTATTCTTATTCTCACAAATAACTTCAAATATTTCCCAAGTTGAGCTGGTCATGTCTTCACATGTCTGTATGTATATAACAAAAAAAACAAGAACAAATAAGCCGGTCATGTATGGAACAACAACAACAACACTCACGCACACAACTTCGATTCGATCCTCATTACACAGCACAACACCACAGTGACAACAAGCAAAGGTACAGGTGTACAATACTAAACTTCAAACACCCCACCGAATGTGAAAAAATAAAACAAGAAGAAGAATCATCATCATGTTCTTCAAATAAAATATGTAATCAATGCACCAAGGTGGGATGGATGGATGTAAAGTAGGTAGAAGATATTTAAAAAATAATACGACTGCGGCCGCCGCTGAAGATAATAATGGTGACCAACAACAACACCAATAATCATCATCGGCAAGAAGAAATGTTGTTTTGGTGTACATAACTAAAGTACGAAAATTTGCAGCACTGCAATTAAAATACAAAAGGAAAACAAGACGAGCAAACCAACAAAAAAAAATTCTGCACACAAACAATGTCACCCTCAACACTTTTCCTTTTGGCATTTTTTAAACATTTAATTACATTAAAAAAAATTCTATTTGTTTTGTATGAACAAAAATAAATAAATAAACATAACCAACAAAAAAGCAAAACAACTACTTAAGACGACAAAGTCTGTAAAGGTTGTCGTTGTCGTTGTCGTCGTCCAGTGGTGATGTTTGGCCAGACAAGCAGGCCAAAAGAACCACGACAATGACGAGACCAGACCGACAACGACGACATCAATTATTTGTATATGCACGAGAAGAAGAAAATCGCGGCGTCACCAAAAGACGACACTTGAGAAAATGAAGAAACAAAAAAAAACACCAACTAAATTTTTAATTTTCTCTATACACATCTAAAACAGCACAGCACCAACAACTGCACAAGTAATCATGCACACACACAAACTTATCGTTGGCTGGTTCGCACTCACACGCACACTTTATCATCAGGCTACGGCTTGTTCGTTCACACACAGAAAGCAGCAGTGGTAACCAAACATACAGAACAAACCAACTATTCAATCAATTATGCAAAAACAATGAACAAAAAATATTTATCTATTTTTTTCCTGCAAAATTTTTCCATTTTCGATCCACGCCGTAATCCACTTCCGCCTTTTAAACACTTTTCTTCACATTGCCTGGCCCACGGCATTAACTTTTCATTTTTACAAAAAAAACACATGCGGCGGCTTCAATTTTTAGATTTTGACATTTCCTTTTTTCGCTTGTTTCTTTTTTCACACACAACACACACATTGTTTGATGAACAATGCCTTTGCAATATTTTTGCTCTTTTTTTATTATTTTTTTCCAAACAAATTTTATCTTTGCTTAAATTTCTGTATATATTTTTTTCAAACACCGAAAAGCCGAACACACTTTAATGCTACGAACGTGTAATTATATATATTTTCTGGCTTTTTAATTTCTTTTCCATCATTTGCTCAAGCCCAATTAAAGAAAAAAATCATCGAATCACTGTATACACATATAAGAGGTATATATCGTCGTCGTCGCGTTTTATTCGTGGGCAAATATAATTGTCGTATGCGGCATTCGTTAATACACTTAAAAGACGACGTCGTTATTGTCCGTTTTTTGGTATTGTTGTTGTTGCTGCTGCCGCTGGTGCTAATAATCTTTTTTTCTTCTTCTCTTCACAATTTCTTCTTGAGAAGAAAAATTTTTCCTTCATGTATTTCGAAAACTTTTAAAACCTTTTTTTCACTTGCATTTTTACATACATTCACTTGAATTTTACATCATTTTATTGCTTTTGTTCGATATTTTAGAATTTTTATATAATTTTCCAGCAATTTTTACTTTTAGTTACGTTTTTGCAATTTTTTGTACTCATCACTCTTAAAGATTAATGTACGCACAACATCAAAGACCACCATTTTAAAAGCCAAAACAGGGTTGTATACCTAAAGCAAGGGCCGACGAAAAACATTGAACGGCGTCACATGGCAACGGCGATCTATGTGTGTTATTAGTTTACAGTGAATGCGAAAGGGAAAATATCAATTGGATATGAATACAACAGTGAGTTGCAATGTAAGGATTTTTTAAAAGATGTTTTTTTTAAAGATTTTTGGGTTATATGAGTGGATTTTATAAATAATATTTTTTTAAGGATTACCTCTACGATAGGCCTGGATTTTTTAAAGAATATTTTTCAAGGTTTATCTCTACAAAAGGCGTGGATTTTTTAAAGAATATTTTTGGAGGTTTATCTCAACTATAGGCGTTGATTTTTTACAGAATATATTTGGAGGGCTATCTCTACTATAGGCGTGGATTTTTTAAACAATATTTTAGGAGGGCTATCTCTACTACAGGCGTCGATTTTTTAAAGAATATTTTTGGAGGGCTATCTCTACCATGGGTGTGGATTTTTTAAAGATTATTTATGGAGGGCTATCTCTACAAAAGGCGTGGATTTTTTAAAGAATATTTATGGAGGGCTATCTCTACAAAAGGCGTGGAATTTTTTAAAGAATATTTATGGAGGGCTATCTCTACAAAAGGCGTGGATTTTTTAAAGAATATTTATGGAGGGCTATCTCTACAAAAGGCGTGGAATTTTTTAAAGAATATTTATGGAGGGCTATCTCTACAAAAGGCGTGGATTTTTTAAAGAATATTTATGGAGGGCTATCTCTACAAAAGGCGTGGATTTTTTAAAGAATATTTATGGAAGGCTATCTCTACAAAAGGCGTGGATTTTTTAAACAATATTTATGGAGGCTATCTCTACAAAAGGCGTGGATTTTTTAAAGAATATTTATGGAGGGCTATCTCTACAAAAGGCGTGGATTTTTTTAAAGAATATTTATGGAGGGCTATCTCTACAAAAGGCGTGGATTTTTTTTAAAGAATATTTATGGAGGGCTATCTCTACAAAAGGCGTGGGAGGGCTATCTCTACAAAAGGCGTGGATTTTTTTAAAGAATATTTATGGAGGGCTATCTCTACAAAAGGCGTGGATTTTTTTAAAGAATATTTATGGAGGGCTATCTCTACAAAAGGCGTGGATTTTTTTAAAGAATATTTATGGAGGGCTTGGATTTTTTTAAAGAATATTTATGGAGGGCTATCTCTACAAAAGGCGTGGATTTTTTTAAAGAATATTTATGGAGGGCTATCTCTACAAAAGGCGTGGATTTTTTTTAAAGAATATTTATGGAGGGCTATCTCTACAAAAGGCGTGGATTTTTTTTAAAGAATATTTATGGAGGGATATCTCTACAAAAGGCGTGGATTTTTTTAAGGAATATTTTTCAAGAATTATCTTTGCATTATTTATTCCCCCTGAGATAAAAAACACAGTTCCTTTAGAGTTGCTAAGAAAGTTTTTTCTTTTTATTTGGTTGTTCATCATCATCATCCGCCTCCTCATTATTATCCTGCTCAGAATCTGAGCTTTTAGAAAATTTGATGACATCCTCCTCATTCTTTAATTCCAATTTCTGCATTCTTTCATCTTCGTCATTGTCCGAAGATGATGAGTCGGAAAAAACTATTGGCCCGGCGGATTTAACAAACATAATTGTTTTGCCAATGCGTCGAGATTCTAAAAATAAAAAATGGTATTATAATTCGAAGTTATTTACAATATCTTAAAACACTACCTGCTCGTAAAAACAGCTGGCGACAAAAACGATCTATGGCACATTTTCCTTGATCTTCTGATAAGCCAAATATAAATGATCTATAAAAATTGTAGAATAATTAGGTGGTGCCTTCAAAAGTTTAACTTATATTTTGTTACATACAAATTTGCCACATCATATGGTCCCCTTAACTCAAATGGATTTGTTGCCCCGCTGCTAATGATAATACTCTTCGATTTGCCTCTGACAAAATAGTTATGGGCTATTTTTATAATATCCTTACGGAAATTGGTATCGACAATTAATGGGGAATATTTAATTTCGAAAAATATGCCACGCTTAACAGCCACCTGATAGGCCTTGCGATTAACATATATACGACTACCAGCCTGGGCATCAAAGGTAACAATATCACCATTAAATGTTGTACAACAATGCTGTGAAAATTAAAAAAAAAAAATGGTTTCCATATAAAAAAAAAATTGAAATAATTTTCGGACTTACAGTTAAAGCGGCATCGGTTTTTGGTTGTCCCGCAACCAAGTTGAATTTTTTCAAATTTAAGGAATTTCCCTGGAAAGAAAAAATACATGTATTCTTAAAAACAAAAATATTCATAAAAAATACACCCCACGGAACGAACGAATTTGATTCATTTTTTGTTCAATAAATTCTGAATCCCTCAAAGTCAATATAATCCCCAAAAGAATTTCTAATATTCCAATAATTGTCCATTATGTCTTACCATAGCATGAGCCACAGCCACATCCATATAGATGATTGTCAGCCTTTGTAATATTTTCAATTTATTTTTAAATTCATCCTGCAGCCATTTGATATTGACCGGTTCGGGAAATATATCAGCCGCCCGTTTGACATTGTCCTTTTTGCTGTGATCAAATACCTGTTCAATCGCAATTGTTTTATAGCCCACTGTACAAAAAAGGAAACAAAGACAATTTTTAATTCTGAAAATTGTTTTTAACAATTTTCATGTACTTACATTCCACCAATTCTTTGCATATTTCACGCAAAATTTTCTCATCTTTGTTATAGGGTACACACAAGTCATAGAAACCCTTTGTTTCCTCCATTTTTAATTTAATTTATTTACTATTTTCAGATATTTCCTTCAATTCATTCGATTAAATTGCTAAATTGTGGAATATAAACAAAAACCGGCATGCACGTGTTGTGTTTTTGTTTACAAGCAGCACAGATGATTGATTTTGACAAGCAACTACAAAGAGCAACCAGAGTTACCAACACTTTATTATATGTGATATATTAAATTGTAATATACATATATTCTGTTATTATATTTTATTTTTAAATAAAATTTTTTAAATAATTTTTGTTAATAAAAGTATAATGTTACTTTTTAATATTCATAAAAGAATACGTGTAATTTCTCAGCAAGTATTATTGATTTGCTAAAGAGACAGCTAGTATGACTATCAGTGTGAATAGCCCTAATAATCCATTACTGTGAACACCCCTTGCAAGCAATAAATGTGAGCACCCCTAAAAAGTCATTATCAACACTTAATCATATATGATTTATTAAATCTTTTTTAATATTTTTTTAATAAAATAATTTAAATTACATTATTTTAAATAAATGTGTATGTTTAATACTTAATATTCTTATATAAATAAATATAACTGACAATTAATACGTTTATTGCTGTGAATAACCCTACTACTGCATAACTGTGAACCACCCTTGCATGTGATTCATGTGAGCACCCCTAAAACGGCATTGATGTGAACCCCGCTTGTTTCTTTTGTGTCTTATTGACTAACGGATTTTTTTCTTATAACGCCAAAGCTCGTTCGGTTCGGTCGCTTGAAAAAATTGTAATAATTGTTTGATAAAAGTCAAATTATTCCTTAAATTAATAAAAAATATTATATAATTAAATATAAATTAATAAAATTCTATCGCTTACGAGAGTAATAAACACAGATGGACATACAAAAGCTACAATTTGTCAAGTGACGCTCAACAGCCAAAAAAAAAGGTTTGCAAAATATTCATGATCAATTGTGCTTGTTGTTTATTGTGATTTTTTTTGTTTCATTTGGATAGAGTCGGTTTCGGTACGTAGTGATTTAGTTTTTGCGCGGGAAATGCAAATGTTTTCAATTCCAATTGATGAAATGATGCTTAGCAAAACATGATTGTGTACTTTTCGGAAAATTTATTGATCGTTTTGAATAGTTCGTGGTCGGTTTCGATGTGTAGTAGTAATTTATTTTGCGCGAGTGATGTGAAATCATTGTCCGGTCCAATTGATCGATGCTTAAGGAAAATAGGGGCAGGAGTTTCATGTGCAATTGCTCGATTTTCCGGACATTTGTGTTGATCGATCGTTCCGGTTCAGTTCGATTTCAATGCAGATTTGTTCCAATTGAAATATGGTAAGTTTTTTGAATAAAAAATTTGTTTTCTTATAAATTTTTTTTTGTTGTTGTAGAGGAGCAATTCCTTAATTAAAAGCTGTGCATAAAAGACACAAGGAAACTTTTTGAAACTTCATATATCGGGCAGTACGGATTTCCCCCGACACATAATGTTTTTTGAATTCAGTATCAGATGAGCTACCTATGTTAAACATTTTTCTTAGAGGTGCCAGTGAAGTTAATTTAAATCCAAATAGTTCTAGGGGTCCTCATAACACAATATATTCTATTCTTGTAGAAAACCATATAATCTGATATATGGAACGCTGGAACCCTCGCATTTTCCCATGATATTTTAAAATTCACTAAGGCAATATGATTATCGATTTGAACGCGAATGGAGTTCTTCATTGTAAAAATGTAATTATTACCACTGGAAACCATACATAGATTTTCTCAAATGGGCAAATGCCAACAATCGCTAGCTGACAAAATCTCATTTCTACTAAAATAATTATTGTGGGTGCCAGGCCTTCGCCCGGATTCCTTTTAACTTTCACCTATGGACATATGGTTGCCCAGATCTCACAAAATATATATATTTTCTTTTTTTTATATATTTTCGCTAGAAAAAAATATGTCGTTGTAATCAGGACTCCAGGAATCATTTTAAATAACAATTCTAAAAAAAAAAAAAAAAATTGCGACTGGGTCATAAAGTAGACCTACCTTTAAATATGACTCAGCTTGAAAGTGTCGAATTTTTATGCCCTCAGCCATATGGCTAATGAGAGTGTTTACACTTTGTTATGGCAAAAACTGTGCCTCATCGAAATATTGATTTTAGACCCCATGTTTCTTTGGATCAAATCCGATTGCCAACAATAACAAATCTACGCCTTAACTGGAAAGATAAAAAATGGAAAAAAATATTCGTTTAAAAATCCACGCCTATTATGGAGATACTTACTTACTTAGCTGGCTTATGACAGAATTTTCGTTCCATAAGCCGAGCGTAGAAAAGATTTCCAGGCGCGTCGGTCTCTTGCGTAGTTTTTCCAATTTGAAAGACCATTTTCGGCGATCTTGTCTTGGACTTGATCTTTCCAACGTATTCTTGGCCTTCTTCTTCTGCGTGAACCATCAACTGGTTCGCTTTTATACGCCTACTGGGCTGGGGCATCTTCATCCATTCTCACAACATGACCTAGCCAACGTAGTCGCTGCAGCTCAATACGTCTAACAATGTCTATGTCCGAGAATAGCTGGTGCAACTCATGGTTCATTCGACGGCGATATTCACCGTCAACGCAGATCGACCCATAGATCTTTCGGAGAATTTTTCTCTCAAACACTCCAAGAGCTGCCTCATCTGCTTGCGTAAGTACCCATGCTTCAGATCCATATAATAATAGGTCGGGTAGTATCAGCGTCTTGTAGAGTATGGGTTTCGTCTGGCGGGAGGTGACCTTGCTTTTGAGTTGTTTGCTCAGACCATAGTAGCATCTGTTGGCCAGCACTATCCTTCTCCGAATTTCAAAACTAATGTCATTCGTTTTGTTTATGGCGGTACCAAGGTATATAAATTCGTTGACTACCTCGAAGCTGTAGTTCTCAAGTTCCACATTTGGTCCGAGTCTACTGGACGTCTTGCGCGTTGATATCAGCTTGGTCTTCTTGACGGACTCCTCAATTTGTTCAAAGGTGGCTGTTACCGTTCTTAGTGTTCGACACATTATGTCGATGTCATCGGCGTAGGCGAGTAACATGTGTTGTTTGGTGTACAGAGTGCCATTTCTGTTCGTTTTTGCCTCTCGTATATCCTTTTCCAGCAGGATGTTATAAAGGTCACACGACAAACTGTCACCTTGTCTGAATCCTCGTTCGGTATTAAAGGGCTCCGAGAGGTCCTTTCCGATTTAAATGCTGATCTTGTGCCAGTTAAAGTTATCCTGCATAGCCGAATTAATTTTGCAGGAATGCCAAACGCAGACATGGCTTTAAACACCTCTGAACGAATAGGGCTGTCGAATGCGGCTTTATAGTCGACAAATAGGTGGGATGTGTCGTTGTGTTTTTCGTAAGTTTTTTTCCAGGATTTGGCGCAGAATGAAAATCAGGTCGATGGTGAATTTGCCAGGTCTGAAGCCGCATTGGTATGGTCCAATAATGTCATTGACCATTGGCTTCAAATCATTAAAAAATCTACGCCTTAATTGGAGCTATCCGTATCCATTGGTTAAATAAAAACACACACACATTTAAAAATATGAAAAAATATATTTTATTTTATTTTTTATAAATATATAATATTTTTAGATGCTAATAATATCGTTCTCTTTTTTCTCAATTGCACTATTAAGGAAACTTGTTTGAAAAAAAATGTTCTTATATTAAAAAATATATATAAAAATTATAAAAATAATCAATTAAATTTTTTAAGCTATAAATAAGCCTAAAATACTATGTGGAATGTTTCAAAAATTGAAATACCTTTTTTTCCAAAGAAAATTGGAGATTAAAATCTATTTTCTAAAAACTAATATAAATATTGAATTATTTTTTTAAGGGCAAGCATAAAATATATATATATATATATAAAAATTTAACGTTTTAAAAAATAATATTTTTCAATTCTAATTCAATCTAAATATATATATATATATATATATGTGACTATAAAAAATCCAAATATTTATAATTTTTTAAGTAAAGTAAAAAAGGGATCTTGCCATTAAGCGATTTGTTGGAACCTGTCTATTTTTATATATGCCTCTAAAAACAACATATAAAAAAAATTGAGAGGCCGATATAAAATTCAAAATATTTTTTCAATACAAAAATATTGGATCAAACCAATTAAATTTTGAATTATAAATACAATACAATTTAATTTGATTTAATTTAATTTTCGTTCTTAATTTAAATTACGCTTAAAATCTCAAATTTAGAATTTTATTTTTTCAGATACTTATTTTCAATTTTGATTTTATTTTTCATAGATATATACTGTACAGGACATCAATTATTATCCGCCCAACTAATCACATTCGACAACATCGTCGTCGTCACCATCATCACTGTGTCTGTTACCCTGATTACCCCCAGCTCTTTGATGTTTCTTGAGATGTTCATTGTAGGCCTCAATGTCATTAAAACGTTGATCACATTCACAACACTCCAGCCAATCATCACCACCACCACCATTGGAGGAATCCTCACCCTCGCCCTCCTCACCATCCAAATCATACTCCTCGTAATCATTTGATGAATCGATGCTATAACTTTCACTTGATTGATATTTTCGCCCATAGTTGTTTGTCGTTCTGGATCCCCCACTACCACCACTCTCTTCCGGATGTGAATCTTTGTGTTCAGTATATTTAAGAAAATCACGAAATTTCATCGGACAATTCATGCATTTATACCAACGATCCCGCTGATGGGTTACCATATGTTTCTTCAGGGTGGAATATTCACGGAATGGTTTACGACATTTACTACAACTAAATGGTTTCTCTCCCGTGTGGATCATATAATGACGTTTGAGATTGTGGCGTGTACCAAACGCTCGATTACACAAAGGGCAGGTGAATTCTTTGCGGGTCATCATACCCATTTCATATAGGTCGGGACGATGTACAGGGGATATTTTGTCCAACAAATTTTTATTGTTATCCTCTGAGGA